TGTGCGCAATCTACCACGTCTCATCAGAAGCTGCCAACATGTTGATGGACTATTGAATTCAGGATTTAACTAGGATCTTTGTATCCTATTACTGAAATTAATTTATTCTTTTTTTTTGCTATATCCTTTTTCAAGGATATCCTTTTTTTGTTATTAATGCTATGCTAGATTGATAAAATAAATTGAATTGTATTCCACCTTTTTCTGTCCTGTGGAACTGTTTTTATAACATGAAAATTATCTGTTTCATGAACATTTGAAAGAATGTGGTGTGATAACGATCTGACTTTATAGCTTTTCTGGGGAGGCAGTTCTTTGAAGCTGGTTTGCTTTCTCCCATGCTTGTTGGTTAACACAAACTTTTGTACTTCTCTTTGAGACAAATTTAGTAATTTGTGTTTTCTCATAAAAGGATCCATTTCATTGAGAATTTCAAAAATATTAGCAAAAAGTTCTACTACTGCATTCGCCTCAAGTTAAAAAAAAAAAGAAACAACCCTCCATATCTCTTCTTGTCTCATTTTTTTATTTTTGGAGATCTCTGTTTCTCCTGCACCCCCTTTCTTTGCGGTACAGTGTATTAGACTTTTGAGATGTTTGTCTTCTCAAATGCATGTTTGCAGAAACTGGTCTTGGAACTATTGGTCATTTCTCCTAGTTGTCGATTTCTGGGATTTCTGCTGTATCTTACTATGTTCTCTCATCTGTTATCTTCGGGTTAAAAAATTCTTGAGTTGACTGCTTAGTTTATTTAGTATTTTCAAGTAATAAAATATTTACGTCCGTGAATTTATTCTCAGAGTCCAACCTTGTTTCTTTCTAGTAGTCCCCCAACTATCTGTCTCAAAGCTCCCACATGCTCGCAGATTTTTCCCAGGCTCAGAAGAGCCTATCCTTCTCCACCCTGACTCTCAGCAACCCCTCCCTAGGGACGTCCTGCTGTAGCAAATCCACCTTGCTGCTTGCTAGAGCAAAGCAGCCAAATGGAGGAGCCAATTAGCGCGTGTGACTGTCATCTCTGCTCTATCTTTTGGGATCTGTGCTCCAGCCGTCATGGATGGGAATGCCAAGTAAGAAAGCCACTGCTCTGTGCGTTTACGCCAACTGCACCAGTGTTTCCAGTAACAACTTCTGCAGGGCCTGCTAGTTGGACTGGCTTTGGCCACTTATGAGTTGTGCACAGCCTGGCCCTGTNGCTCTGTGCGTTTACGCCAACTGCACCAGTGTTTCCAGTAACAACTTCTGCAGGGCCTGCTAGTTGGACTGGCTTTGGCCACTTATGAGTTGTGCACAGCCTGGCCCTGTCTGTCTGTCTGTCTGTCTGTCTGTCTGAGCTCCTTGGCACCCAGCAGTCAGGGATGGGGAAGAAGGAGAACGTGAGGAGCAGCAGTCTACTCCTCTCCTTTCTTTTGAGCAGGACTCATTTCAAGAGGAATCATCCCTTTCCCCCTCTCTTTTCTTTCTATTCGTGCTTTGATCTGAGTGGATGGATGGAAATTCAGGTATGTCATCTGGTGGTTCACATTGCCCGGATTGGAGATATCTGAGTAGTTATGAACTTGGACCCTGACTTTGCCTCAGGTGGTTCTCCAGCCCCCTCTTCTGCCCCCAAGGTCACTTATGATGACAAAGGGTGGCACCTGGATCCCTGTGGAAGTCATCACTGTGGAGAAAGGAGAGACCATCTGACTCATCCCCAAAGGGGAGAGGGACCTCAGCTGGAAAGATGTGCACACGTCTGTTCCTGGGGAAGTGGTTAAGGACCAGAGGGGATACGTGAATAACTCTCCTTTTCCCAACTATGGACATGCACTGTCCCAAATGGCTTTTCATGGTTGTCCCAGGAAGGGACTCAATGTAAAACTGCTCATGATGTTGGACATGTCCACCCTCCTCCCAACATAGCTGAGGGGGACCTTATCAACACCTTTCTCCCAGATGCAATGGAATGCTATGGAAACCATTAATTCTGGTGTCAGCCAGAGCCTGTGGAGAACCTTGTAGTTAATAGCCTCCAAGAGCCAGGGAGTGGACTGAGGCGAGACAGACCTGCACGAAGGAGAGCTCGTTTCTTCCTCCCTTTCTGCGACACAGCAGCCAGCTGGCTCAGCAGGTCTGAGTTAGATCAGTGGCAGAACCAGCCTCTGAATTTGAAGGCTGTTCCCTCCCTCCTGAGCAAGAGTTTCCCTTGTTACTTAGTTATATGTCTGTAGCTGCCCCACGGCCCTGTGGATACGTGGAGCTTGATGGGGACGTGTGCTCTCCTGGAACTTTGGCTGTGGGTTGTATGGTCCAGCCATGGCTGGCTAAAGCTGGGGACAATGGTGGATGGTGGGATTCCCTGTGCTCTACTACTTCTGTGCTCGTGAATTTCCTCCAGTGAACCCAACTTTATATCTGCACCAGGGTGCCAGGGTGTGTGTCCTTTGCATGGCAGTGCTAAAATCATTGCTGCCACCCTCTCATACCAATCCTACTCTAATCTCTGCCCTTTCGTGACTGTGAGTTCCAGTGTTGAATGGGTATAGAATCCATCATGGCAGCTGCTAACAAATTCTGAGTGCTACTACAGATTGGGCTCTGTGCTAAGAGTTTTATATGTATTAACTTATGCAGATAGGCACAACTATCTTTTCTTTTCTATGCATTTCATTTTTTTTTTTTTTTTTAGAAAAGGAAATAGACCTATAAATGGTGAGACTAGGATTTAAACATAGGCAGTTTGCTTTTAGAACCTGTGCCATTAAACTCTATGCTGAGGATTTGCAGGTGGGTGGAGGGAGAGTTTGGGGGTAAAAAAGAATTTTGTCATCTTTAAGAACAGTACCTGATAGTCCAAGATGGCTGCACTGTTTTCTGACCCCATGTTTCAGAATCTGGGCACAGACAGCAGGAGAGGGAGAAGTGTCTCTTAACTTTCTCTTGACCCACATTTACTTGCTTCTCACACACGACAGAGCCCCCAGGCAGCCACTGGCTGTGCCCTCACGATACACCCTATGGGTCTTGTATCTGATGTCATTGCTTCCGAGATTTCAGCAGTAGGTCAGCTGCAAGTCCTACGCTTTCAGAGGCGCTATGAGGTTCTGGATTTCAAAATTTGTTTGCTTGCTTTTTCTGTGTTCCTAGATATATAAATGGGAAGTGGGGTGGGATGAATCCTTCAGAGGGACTTGTATGCTCCCCCTGGAGGCTGCTGAGCTGCAGCCTCCATTTCCCACAGTCCCTTGCAGCTCGGCTCTGGCTGGCGGCCTGGCTTCCCCCCAGCGGACCGCCCGTGAGGCTTGGAAGGAGAGAAGGGGCTGCATTTCCACTGCTTCTGCGTGATTGTGGGTGTGTTGGGTTTTCCTGTGACAGCTGCAGCAGAGGTCCCAGTGTCGGGGAGGTGAGGCAGTCAGAGCAGGCAATGGGGTGGCCCTGGTGACAGCTGAGACAGTGGCCTCCTCATACCCTGGCTTCTTGACAATGACTGAGGCAGCAGCTTGTCCTTTGAGAGTTGTTCCCAGAAGCTCAGCTCTGAGCCTGCCCCACCAGCCCTTTCCCCAGCTTTGTAAGGACCTAAGTCACTGTATTAAGTCCCTTTCACATGAACTAGGTAGAGTGTTTCGTGTTATTTGCAACTGAACCCTGCTGATATAATAGGTTTTTGTTGTTGCTGATATTTAGTGAGAGATTTTTTTTAAAATAATTTTTTCAGATTGAGCTCATGCTAAGCTAAATCCTCAGACTTCTTTCCCCATGAATGTTCTTATGGCAGGCACCCTCCACTCTGGGTGTGTGTGATCACCTGAAGTCACCTGCACTGGGCCCATCAGCACAGCAGGTGAGGGCCTTTTGAATTATAGTCTCAAAATTACGGGAATCACATTGCTCCTACGGCCAAAACCTTGTCCCCAGGGCTCCAGGATGCTTTCTCCAACTGGGTTCCTGCCAAGGGTTTTCTTGGCTTGTTTTCTGCTCCTGGAAAGGAACAGCCTGTCCTCTAGTGCTCTGCTCTGCCAGGGAGCCCATCAGTGTATCTACCTTCCTCTCTGTGTTTCTTAGGGGACCTCCGGGTTACTGGCTCTGACACCCGTCTCCTCCCCCTCCCTTAGGACAAGTGTCCATGCTTTGCCAGGGGCTGCCTGGAGAGCCTTTCGCAGTAGTGTGTGAGCAGGACCACTAGGTACGGTCTGGGTACATTTTCCTTGAGAATTCCTCTTAGAAGCATGTCTGCCCCAACTTCTCCAATACTCAGACCTTCCAATGGAGGGTGTATGGGAAGTTTCACTCTCATTGTAGTTCTCAAACTACAGCTTATGACCCTTTCACAGGATACAAAATTGATTTGGAGAGTTGTCCAGCACTGTGTATATAGAACAGAAGTTCGTTGTGAGTACGAATGGTAAGTACTGTCTTGAGCATCTTTTGCTAGTTGCAGGCAGGTGTACGCGTGTATCAGTCAGGGCTCCTCCATATGTATACATAGATAGATCTCCAGCAATCCCTTGAACAACATGGGTTTGAACTGCACGGATCTATTTATACATGGGTTTTTTTTTTTCAATAAATATGTTGAAAAGTTTGTGGTTAGATATTTCATTGTTTGCGTGACATACCTAACCAAACAGTTAAGTAGCCTACCCAGCAGTAGGCTATTAGTAGGCTAATAGTGCAGTGTGGTGTAACCTCAACCCCAGAGAAAGTGCAGCACATTTTAATACTAGTTAAGTAATTAAGTTTCGGGGGAGTCAAAAGTTATACTGGATTTTTGACTGCACAGCGAGGAAAGTGGTCAAGGCCCCTAACCCCTGAGTTGTTCAAGGGTCAATTGTATCAACTGAGTATACAGGAGTGTGTGTGTGTGTGTGTGTGTGTGTGTGTATGTATGTATGTATATATATATATATATATATTTTTTTTAAAGATTTATTGCAAGGAATAGCATATCTGATGCTGGGGGCTGGCCAGGAAGGCAAGTCAGAAATCCTTTGGGCAGGAAGGTCAGCTAAAGCTCTCAGGCACAAGTTGATGTTGCTGTCCCCAGGCAGGATTTCTTCTTCAGGGAAGCCTCAGTTCTACTCTTAAGACCTTTCAACTGATTAAACTAGGCCCCCTCGCCCCCGATATCTAGGATAATCTTCTGTACTTAGAGTCAACTGATTATAGACTTTAATCGCATCCACAGAATACCTTCACAGGGACACCTTGCTTAGTGTCTGAATCACTGGGGACTGTAGGTTCGCCAAGGTGACACATAAAACTGATGATTGCAATGGATTGCAATTAAAAACGAATTTCTGACTGTAAAATGTCATTTGAAGAACTTAGGGGAAGATCATTACCTTATGTTTGTTTTGGGGACAGACACCCTCTTTGGGGACAGACCCACCCTTTGTCACTCACTCATTGTCATTGTAGTTTCTCAAACTACGGCTTATGACCCTTTCATAGGATGCAAAATTGATTTAGAGAGTTGCCCAGCACTGTGTATATAGAACAGAAGTTCATTGTGAATAGGAACGGTAAGTACTTGGAGGCTTTTCAGGTATTTGGAGAGAAGCAAGCAGGCTGATGTGTATTTCATTTATTACTGATATTTCAGCTTCCTCCAAGAGCACGAAGTCAGCCACACAAAGGGGGCCCCCTGATGCACAGGGACTGGCTCACTGGACTTGGGGCCAATTGGAAATCTGCGGATGCTCACAGCCAGGCTTTAAGAATGAGCCCAGTTGTGACGGGTGAACAGAAGGGAGAATCTGCTTCCTGTGTATTCAGGGTAGATCTTAAAATTCCAAGAACCAAAGTCCTACAAGAAGCGTTGGGTAGTCCCTGAGTGGAAAAAATCTCATAGTCCTGCAAAACTTCCCAATCCTGACATGTCAGAAAATGTCTAAGGAACCAATCTGAGTAGAATACAGAGTATTGTTTCCCGTTTGCGGTTTCCCATTCTCCTTCTACAGTCCAGCTTTCCCAAGTTGTTTTATAAAGGAACAGATTACTCATAATTCCCAAGCTGGAGATACTTCTAGAGAAGGAATAAGTGACATCATGGATAAACAGAGAAGTCATAAAGTGTTAATGTATATAATAGGGAAGCCTCATAAGTGGAGGTTCTTCAAATTGTGTGTGTCTTCCTGAGGGAGCAATTCATTCATTCCATAAACATCCATGAGCCAGGCAACATTCGAGGTGCTGGCAATATTAAGTTGGCTAAGACAAGACTGTAAGCTGTTAAGAGGAGACAGACAGCACTATGGATTGAATGTTTGTGTTCCCTCCAAATTCACGGGTTAAAGCCTCATCCCCAAAGTGAGATTAGGCGGTGGGGCCTTTGGAAGGTGATTAGGTCATGAGGGCAGAACCCTCTTGAATTTGAATGTTTGTGTTCCCTCCAAATTCACGGGTTAAAGCCTCATCCCCAAAGTGAGATTAGGTGGTGGGGCCTTTGGAAGGTGATTAGGTCATGAGGGCAGAACCCTCTTGAATGAGGTTAGTGCCCTTATAAAAGAGGCCCCAGATAGCTGCCTCACCTCTCTCACCATGTGAGGACACAGCAGAAGCCATCAGCTGTGAATGAGGAAGCCTCACCAGACCCTCAATCTGCTGGCACCTTAATCTTGAACTTCCCAGCCTCCAGAATTGTGAGCAACACATTTCTATTGTTTAGAAGCCACCGAGTCTATGGTCTTTTGTTATAGCAGCTCGAACAGACTAAGTGCTGTGGTTTGGATGTCTCCCCAAGCTCATGTTAGAATTTAACCCCAATACAGTGGTGAGAGGGGGGCCTTTAAGTGGTGATTGGGTAGTGAGGACTGTGCCCTCATAAATGGATCGATACATTCATGGAGTAATGGGTTGATGGTTTAATGGGTGGTTACGGGTGTGGTTGTGATGGCGTTATAAGGAGAGCAAGTGAGAAGGTTAGCTCTCTTGCTCAGGCCATTCCCTCGCCAGGTGATACCCTGAGTTACTGTGGAGTCATCACCCAGAAGACAACCCTCACCAGATGTGTTCCCTGGACTTTGGACTTCCCAGCCTCTGAAACTGTAAAAAATACATTTCTTTCCTTTATAAATTACTCAGATTCAGGTATTCCATTATGAATAACAGAAATGGACTATGACACTAAGACAGCAAGACGGGGTTGGCAGTTCAGTGAAGTGAGAGCCCTGAGGAGGAAAGCACATGCCAGGCTGGGCAGGAAAGGCATGAAATGGTGATAGCCTACTATGCACCAGGGGCTGTACTGGGCACTGTACTGGGAACTGAGTGGCAAGCACCACGGAGATGGAGCTTAGGGTCTCGGTGGGGAGACAGATGTTAATCAGTCACCCCCATAAATGGAAGATCTTCTGCATGTGTGCTGTGCAGTTGAGGCACCCCCATCATGAGGTCATGCATTGTGTTTAGCAGGTGCACTGTGCCATGGTTCAGGTTTCCTGTGGAATTCCCACTCTGGAGGATCTACTTGCCTCCCCAGCAACTAACATGGATGACTGAGCTTCTTCTTTCAAAGGCCCACCAGTGGGGTAAGAATCTTATCTGAGGAAGTGACATTCCCAAGTAAGGTCACTATGTTAAAGAAACTGCTCAAGTTTTCTTGTGGTCAAATTCCCTGTTGACCAACTTGGCTTAATTGATGAAGTTTGTGTGAACTGTTTCTTTCAGTGTTTGAAGCAAACCACCAATATTTTTCTTCTTTATCCCTCCAAAGAGCTTTCTTGGCCTGTTGCATCTGAATACTTATTAGTTTTTCCTTCTCGATCCCCTGCTGTCCCAAACTGTCCTATTTATAACTTTCAGCTGTTGGCAGGTCTACAGTGCTGGCCTTTGGGGAGACGTATGAAGGTCGGGATGCCTGTGAGTTGTCTGGGAACACGGGCTGGGGCGATGTAGACACCCAGGCGAGTCTTTTCTCTCAGAATTTATGATGAAAAATTGGATTCCAAGAGCCAGGGGATGGACACCAGCCCTGTGTTTATAATTTGCGGGAAGACAGGGAAGGCACATTCCTCTCAGGCCGGAACTGGCTGAATCCAGCTTTTTGACTCACAAATTAGTCAGTAACTCTCTAGCAAAAATTAGAAATAGTGGTTTCAGTTACAAATTGCCTCCGTTAAAGTAACCTTTTTTTTTTTTTTTTGTAGCCTTTTTTTTTTTTAAAACACAAAGTGGAATATTTGGGGCAGAATTTAAATGAGGGTTCTGACCAGAGAATGTTTTCTGGACAGAAGGTACAACTTTAGTTGGGTCATTTTATGGCATGGAAATGACTCTGGTGAGAAATGCACCTGGAGGAGGTTCCTGGAGGTGGGGATGGGTGGACTCTTTGGCCAAGCTTTAGGTTTAAACCATTCACACTGGGCCCACCCTGATATGTGTAAATAATTCCAAGATGACCTCTGATTTGGTCTCAGGCATTCAGAAAGGTCTGCTTTCCAAAGGCTTTTACCTGCTCATTGTCAAGGCTTGAAATAAACACCATTTGAAAACTCCCTTCCAAAAGTCTGATTTGCCTCATTCTGAAGAGCTGCTGCTGAAGTCTTTCCTTTTAACTCCTTCATCCCCAATTCTATCTATCAATTCATTTTGGATCATGATTCTTTTTTGGACCATAAATGAAAAGATCCTGCTGTAGCAATGTTATCCTAATATCTCCTGGGCTTTTTTTTTTTTCCCCCCCGTTACTGTTTTTGGGATTTATGATGATTCAATTTTTCACTTCATGGAGGCTCAGATTAAAATGTGTTTCTGATGCTCAGTATCTTGGCCTGTGAGGAGCCTGTGGGAGGCCTTCCTCCCCTAAATTTGTCTCAGGCTTTAGCATGTCAGAACTAGTTGTAGTCAAAGCAGCAGAGCCCCAAACCTTCTGTTGACACATTTGCCAGAGGAGCTCACAGGCTTCAGAGCAGCCTCGGCCCGTGGGTGGACCTAGGCAAGGTGGTTAAACAGCTAGAGTTTGACTGGAGGCTGAAATACTGTACCCAAAAAGCCTTGTTGAAGTGTATCTGTGTTAACTGGCAGGGAAGTGGGACATTTTTGTCACCAGTCACGTGGCGTTCTTGAGTGAACAAGCAAACATTATTATCCCTCTCCAGGGCTCGTTATTCACGGAGCCTGGGAAGCCCTAGCCTGGGAGTCACAGCACGTATTTCTCTTTTCTCCTGCAGGGCAGGGTCTGTGTGGGAGACCTATCTTCAGTGTCCAGGCCAGTGAGTGGCAAGCAGTTGGCATCAACAGATGGCTGTAGAATGACTGAGTGAGTAAATGATCCGTCCCTGGCCTGTGGGGTCAACGTTGCTGTTATGGTGTTTACTTCACTTGGGACTTTTCCAAAATTGGGAGGTTCTGGGTGGGCTGTCAGGGGCTGGGCCGGGCTGTGAGGGGCAGAACAAAGCTGGCCATTTCAGCCTGACTTCTCAGAGCCTGTGTTCCCTTCTTTGTAAAAAGATCCACTAGGAGAAGAGAGCTTCCAAGAATCCTAGTACAGTGAGTTCTTCAAAGAACTCACCGGCCGTCTCATGTCTTTTTCATAATATTCCTGTGAAGCAGAGAGAGAGAAGGGAAATGAGCCATCTGTGCCATGCGGTGGATGTATACGAGGTGGTGGTGGCACTGGCGGCTGAAATGCCAGTCCAGTGACCTCCAGCCCTCCCAGGCCAGCCTCCCTCCACATCAGCAATTATGTTCTAATGCCCTGTCTGCTCTCCTGAAAGGAAATTCATAGTTTATACCACCTACCTACCTATATAATTAAAATAATATGGCTTTCACTGTCGAATAAAGGAGAAATAACAGGAAATATTTTATAAGAAAATATTTTGTATTTAATAATGAAATAGAAGACTTGGTGAGTACCTTTGGATTTATGAGATGTAAGATAATATTCAACTAAATAATTTTGAGACTTTAACAATATATGACCTTTTCAAATAAGGGCTAAGTATATCTATTTGTACATAGTCATGGGGTTATTGAGAATGGGGTAGTTTCAGATATAGATCTGTGAAGGCGTGTGTATCAACAACCGAGATACCATTGCTGCAGGTGA